AATTCTCATACACGAGGGGCCTCCGAGGTGGTGAACAGGGGATGAACTCTAACAAAAACATACATTTAAAAAATTAAATACTTCATTTGTGAAAGTGCCTTTCAGTCATTATAACCTCTAGCTTTAACCACTCTAGTATCTTCTGCCAAGTATGGTTTACTGATAACACACCATGATGGCACCAGGAATGGACTTGTTGATAAGTTAAATAATGGGACTACTTTCAGACCATTTTTATAGCTGTAAATTCTCACAGCAGGAAAGAGTCATCATACAGTTATTTCACTGTGTAGAACTGTTATTTTTCTTAGAAAAAAACTCTGTAGCTTTTGGGGAAGGAGGATGTTTTTCAAACAAAACCCTGCTTCCATTCTTCCCCAAAAAGCTCAGCTTATATTGGCTGGAATGATAACAAGTTCATGAATATATGTATTCAGGCAGATTGTAAATTTAGCCAGAGCATATATATATATGTAAGGGGTGAGTGTCAGGGGGACGGAGTTAGGCTTTTCTCAGTGATGACCAGTGATAGGACAAGGGGCAATGGGTGTAAATTGGAGCATAGGAGGTTCAAGGTCAATATCCGAAAAAATTTTTTTACTGTAAGAGTGACAGAGCACTGGAAAAGACTGCCCAGGGAGGTTGTGGAGTCTCCCTCACTGGAGACATTCAAAACCCACCTGGATGAGTTCCTGTGTGATGTACTCTAGGTGACCCTGCTCTGGCAGGGGGGTTGGACTAGATGATCTTTCAAGGTCCCTTCCAGCCCCTAAGATTCTATGATTCTATGATATATATTACTAAATCCAAACAATGATCTAAAGCAAGAAGCAAAACAACACCAAAAACTTCAAATGTTCCAAAAGAGATGAGCTGAGATTTTGAAAGCTTACTAAGGGATTCAGCCACACAAGTCCCAAAGAAATTCAGTAATTAGGTGGTTGATAATCTCAGTTTTTATGCCAAGTTAATTCCCGATATAACTTCATTGTCTTCAGTGGAGTTACACTGCAAATGTATTTGACAGATTGTCATGTTTCTTCTCCAAGAATAACTTTTAAAGCAGAAGGTTTAAACATGAGTGATTAAAGTCTTGGGCCAAGTTCTACCCTAATTTAAACCCTGTACAAACAGCTGACTTGGAAGTGAGGTTGTAAGGAAAGGCAGAAAGAGACATGAGTCTGTTCTTCCTTTGCTAGGACATTACATCAATTCCTTTAGGCAACGGTCATGTCTCTGAAAAACATAGTGGGAATCCAAATTGCAGTTTGTAGGAGATTCTTTCCTTCTAAGTCTGCAAGTTCTTATATTTCACGAGGAGTAAGCATTCTGTAAAGAGCCTGGACTAGTCTCAGTAGAAGACCACAAAATTCACTCCAGTTAGGTACTACATCAATCTGAATCTTACCTGCTTCAATATGCATTTCATCTTCTTTGAGGATAAGCACTGGAAATGGTCATTTTAATATGAATGCTGCAATTAGTCACCCAATTTAATCAGAAACTAATGAGTTTCAGACATTCTCAACCTGTGTTATTTTTAATCAAAACGCAGTATCTGGATTTTTGATTATTTTTTTTTTAGTATGTTGGGTTATTTTTGACTCATTGTTAGCATTAGAGTTAAACCTGTCTAAATAAGTAAATAAGGCTGACAGGTCAAACAGGGCACACAGCTTCGCTAAGGTGAGAAGGCAGTAATGCCCATCTCATCTCTTTCTATGCAGCACTGCTACGGACACAAGGACACATTGCTTTGCCCAAAGTGCTATTTATGCCAGCAGCAGAAATCTGAATGCTGTGGCTCTCAGTGTAGTGCATTCCTGATGTCCTCACTTCTGAGTCTTCTGCTGGCAGAAGTCACTTTACTAAAACAGAAGTGATATAATCTGTCAGGGAGTGAGCTCAACATAAACAAAATGGCTCCACAGTAATACCCCTGCTCTAGGGCAATCATTACTAGGGCAGGCAGCATGAGCTAGCAAGCTGATCTTCAGACTGACAGCCCAAACATTTGGATGCCCTTCCTGGCTCTCCCGTCATTGACTATTTTCATTCAAATCACATTGTGAAGTGACATACATTGTTTAATACTGGGTGTCAAGGGCTTGTGTGCTAAACCTTCCTCATGAGGCAAATGTGAAGACACTTCCCATCCAACATAGTTTGCAATAGTTATTAACAGGACAGACATTGGATTAAGAGCATCTCATGCAAAGCCTGTGAAATGTAGCTGCTGGTCTTCAGTCTTGTAAAAGTATATGGAAGTGAAAAGCTCCATAGGAGGGGCTGTGATTATTGCCATGGAGGAAAGCAGGAATATTTTGAGGGAATCATAGCCAGGCCAGAAGCAGGGAGGCTGAGCAGAGCCAGCCCCACAGTAATAGCAGCTCTGCACAGTCCTGAGTGTGCTAGCTCACTCAGGCTCTGAAGCCCTCTGAAGAGAGCTCTGAAGCTGACACTTCCCCACTCACCTGGGGTTGTGCTGAGATGGCATTTTCTTCCCTTCACTGGCCCCAAGCAAGCCTTATGCAAATACTTCATTACCAATAATGTCTAGCAAGTGACACACTGGGCTTGCTGTGCTCCCCACTGAGACGTGTCAGCAAGGGACACTAATTGCCATCCTGCCCTATGCAAGGCTGCTGCCTCCCACCCTTCCTTTTTTTTCTTCAGCTCCCTCCTGCATGTGTTTATTTCTGCATGCAGGCCTCCCTGCTACAGAGAAGTACAACCTACTTTCCCCCTCCTCACCAGAGCTCCCTTCTGTGATCTCTAAATTCTTCAGCTCTGTGACACTCAACACCTGTACCATTCATCCTGTGTACACAGCTGCATCTCTTTTCTCCCAGGCTCACCTCAGCAGCTGCAGTCCAGTTCTGCCTTTCCTTCTTATCACTTATCTTCTCACCTCCTTCATTTGGGCTACCTCCAAAATCAGCTCTTCTCCCTCTTTTACTTCAGAGCTGCTGCAGACATTAGTGCTTTCTTTCAGCCCCCTTCATCACTTCAAGCCTCCTCTCCAGAATTTACAAGTACAAGGTTATGATAACTAAGTTGACCACATTTAAATATGAAGATACCTGGGAAAGTTCCCCCCCTCTCTTTAGCCTTTTCTCTGTCTCCACTAGCTACTTTAGGTCCAGGCTCAGGCACTGCAATACAGATAGCACTTTACTGCTTCTCCCTCAGAGTACGGCTCTTAAAGAAGAAAGCATTTTTAAAACCTGTTCTTGAAAAAGAAGATGGTAAGGTGTCTTCTAAAAGTGTGTCAGGGGAACTTCAACCCACCATCGCTACCCCAGTCAAAATGCAAAAAGAAATAAATAATTAAAATAAATAAATAAAACACACAAAAAAAACACCCACCACAAAAACCACCAAAACATTTTTGAAACATCAAGATGTTTAAACTGTTTCAGCTGAGAAAAAAATGTAGGGGAAAATGTCCTGGTGCAATCATATGCAGAACATAAGTGACTCAGGAATCTTCTTGTAGTATAGTGACATCCATGTTAGGACTAAAACTTGAAAAGTTACTTTAGCTAAGAATTGCCAGTCACTCTGAGGACCAGGGAGAACATTTTTGCAAAGACCAAAAAAATTTTAAAACAGGACTTCCTAAGGAAAATAGAAACTTTAATTAACACAGATTTAAAATTGCTTCTTCTGTAGTGAACTAACTTCCTTAGGATTAACTTCTTATTGCTGCTCCAAGTATGAGGCATAGTGACATTTTCCTGAAAACTAACATTCTGATTATATTTTAAAAATAGGTTCCAATTAAACAAAGCCTAAGAAATTTTATGTATTCTGCAGAGTGTTGCCTTGGGCACAGCAGTGTGGGATGGGGGGCATTCACATGGCTTTAATTTTGAAAAGGATCAGAACAGGGTTCAGCTGTCACCATTTATGGTCCACCTGCCAAAGAAAAGAACCCCCAAACAATCTTGTAGGGCTGATGACAAGGAAGACTTTTCCCATAACTGTAATCACTACAATCATAGCTAGTGCAGTGATATATCTAGCTCCAATTTGAAAATGCAGAGAGAATTTGGAATAGTTGGCAGTGGTGAACACTTAGTTTACATCACTAGAAATTCAAGCACTACTCAGTTTTAAATTAGAACATAATATCCTGACAGGTTGTTTTTAAAGGGGGTGGAGGAAGAGAAAAAATTAAATATAACATCATAAGGAGCAAGATCCCAGCCTGTAAACTGAAAATCCAGTGCTCAAAAATATAAAGCTTTATTTCTACTTCTGCAAATTTATTAATAGCATTTGTTGACCATTGGTTTAAAACATTATAGCTGATCACTTCAAGTGACAAGTAGGCAAAACACGGAAGATGAATTACTACAAGGAAGACATGCCAAAATACAGAAGGAGGCTATTTAGCCAGTTATACATTATGACTTATGTTGTAAGCTTAAAATCTGAAGGGAAAGCTTTCAGGAATTAAATTATTTTTATCACCCTAGTTTTAAAGCTTCAAAGCACCCTGGTTCAAAGGTTGCCAACCCTTTTCCCAACATTTATGGGAAATCTAAACCATCCAAAGTAATGTTTTTTGTTGTTGCTTTTTTTTTTTTTAAAAGCTCATCTGCTATAAATGCTATAAATGGGGCTGGTTTGGCTTTTTAATGGTAGAAACAATTGTGACCACACACCAAAAAAATAAAAGTGGAAAAAAGTTAGATACTACCATTTAAAACCTTCAGGCATTCTTTGTCCTGCATTGCTACATGGGTAAATAATTAGTGCTGTAAAGAGTTTTGTTTTTTTCATTTGTTTGCCCCCTCCAAAATTGTAAAGTGGGTCACAAACAGAGAAAAGGCTGCAACTGCTACAACAAGCAACACAGAATTCTGGTCACAGTTCAGGAGAGCTGCTACATGCCTCTTCATTCAGAAGAGTTTGCTGGGAAAGCTTTAAAAAAAAACAACAGATGAGTTCATGGCTTGTGCATCTCATGTGGCACCTTTTTATTCCTCCAGCTCTCGTCGTACGCTTCCTGACCAAACGGTTCATCTGGGAGTACGACCCAACGCTAGGTAGGTTGCATTTTATTCTGTACACGTGGTATTGTGTATATAATAGCATGGTTGAAGTGATGGAAAATCATAGAGTTAAAATTCCAAGCCTCAGTCAACCCTTAAATTTGGTGTAAAAAAGCTTCTCTGTGGTCATTTAAAGCCGAAACAAATTATTACCTAAGATGGCATACTAGACAGTTAGTAACACACTCAGATGAAAGCAGAATTAATATGAGGCACATTTCTTCCCTCACAGAAATCACTGGGAAATTTGCCATTGAAAGCAATTGCATTAGTATTTCACTCTGAAAATTATGTAGTGTGCAGTCAGTTCTGTTTTTGGATAACCCAAACACCAGCTGCTAGAGAATAAGATAGATGGCTGGAATACAGATCTGAAAAACAGGTAGGTACTTAAAAGCTACCTACCCTTAGGTAAGTTTATTGTTCTCACTTTCAAACATACATTGTACCTCACTTTATTGGTAAACAGGTAGGGTAAGTCATCAGGAGAGCATCCCTGCATGTCTTCTCCACTGCTCCCACTTAGCTGGCTTGTGTCTGGCACTTCTGAGAAGCTGGCACAGATCTCTCAGAAGAAGATGTCAAACAGTTGCTCTGAATTAGAGGCCTCACTTGAGAATTCATGCCAAGGTCCAATTTCTTTGTATTTCCTAAGTCAGTATATATTTGAATGCTCTGCACCAGAGAAAATCCAGGCCAAGAAGTCTGAGATGAAGCATTCACATCTTAGGAGGCACCTTCAGTACCTCAGGACTAAGTGATTTACACATGAAGTTAGGGGCTGGGAAATTTCCTTTTCTCCAACAATCTGTTGCCCTCTCCTTCCTAACCTTTCTTTGGAGGCTAAAATACAGGTTGTACAGTTAAATACCTATTTTTTTGCTGAGGTTCCTTCTCTCAGATATCTCACTAAAGAACTGGAAGACACCATAAACTTGCACAGCAGAAACAGATGAAATTTTAATACACGTTCTTGCAAAATCCAGGCAGCTTTTTCAACAAAGCAGAAGTATCCAGTATTATACCAAGTATCTTAATCTGGTAAAATGAAGAAATTACAGATAGCAGAAATCTCATCTTGGGAAAATAATTCTGAATACAACTTGAGCTCAGACACAGTCATTTATCTGTTAATATCAATATTTTAATCAGTGAATTATGTCACCTGCATGCTGAAGCGTTCAATATAAAACTCTGTTAGTATTAGTACTTTACATCTCTGTCACTAACACATCATTTTAAGAACTTTACAATAGAAGAATATAAAGAGCTCTGTATCAGTATAGTCCAAGTTAATTAATTTCAGGGACACCGCATGCAAAAGTATCCTTGTTGCCTTGTTTAAGCACACAAAGTTATTGGCAAGCTGCGAGGTTTGGTTTTTGCCCCATCATGAGGGACCCATGCCCTTTTTGGGTGTACAAGATTTGACATTTGTTTCTGATTTACTAATTTACAACTAACTGCAAGTTAAGCATGCCCCTCAGGAATCTAATCATCTTCTGTTTACAACATGGAAAGCTTCTATGCAGACAATAGTTCTATCTCAATAAAACAAAAATTAAATCTCTTCTGACTTAGTGAATTCTATGTGTTATTCCAGTTTAGAGGATAACAGCTTCACAATAACTGTAATACATCATTTAAACTAAGTGCTTTAAGTTGCTCAGAGGCAAAGGCTTGAGAAATGCAAGAACTAAAACTATTATCAGTAAGTTATTTCTTAATTACAGTAGTCTCTGGTGGAAGCTGCCCACCAGAAATTGGTTTTTAAAGTACTGCGCTTTCAAACTATGGGTCACAACAGGATTTAAAGGAGGGTCTGAACTGTTAGAAAAAAATCTCCTGAAATTCTAACCACTGTTCAGACCTTCAGAAATGAATCAGAAAGGGACTGTACCTTCAAAAACTTTGAGAAGCAGTGCTTTAAAGAACCCGTTTCTAACTTTATCATAATTCTGTGGTAATTTAGTGGCCAGTTACCCATTAACATCACTGAGCTGAATTTACTGAGAAATTTTAACTGAATATATTCATTTATTTATAGCAGTCATGGACTGACAGTTGGGTGGGAAGAGGGATATTCCACCAATATAAAAAGTTTATGTTGCATCAATGAGATCCATTTGCCCTGCAAGGAAAATAAGTAGCTTTGTCAAATAATTTTGAAAGGGCAGGACTAAAACAGATGCAGACTATCTAGCTGCTAAGCAACAGGAGGTTTTGCCAAAAATCACCGGGGCTGTGAAAAAAAATTGTTGTATTTGTAAGTTATTTCTTATGTCAAGTTTTCAACCACCCATTAGCACTCTGATGCAAAAAATCCCAAGAAAATTCCTATTTTTAGGTAAGCTTCTACCAAACTGTACAAAGTTTGATGGAAATTCAGCATTATTCTAAACTAAGCTTCAAGGTAAAAAAAACTTGTCCTCTTAATTCAAGGGTGGCACATTTTAACTGTAAAGGAAAAAAACACACCTTATAAATATTCTTTACGACTCTAACCTGCCAGAAAATAAATGAAGGACCATATTTTTAGCAGCATCTGGATATCCTGCTGTATCTCCAGGAGCCAAATTATAAACCACAAAATAACATTTTCTGGCTTGAGGAGCATCACTGAATCTTGCAAGTTTTGGCACATGGGCCTGCTGCTGCTGAAGTCAGGGCTTTGCAGCTCTGCCACTTTTGTGCAAGCATTTGTAGGACAGCTGCATCTTCACAAAAAAAGTACATATCACTGTACTTTCCATTTTACTATTCTCAGCCAAAGGGTAATGACTGCAAAGGTAATTTTTCAAGAGATTATTAAGTGTCAGCCTTGAATTCTCCATCACTTCTGCTTAACCGGCAGGTCAGTGTCATCAATTTGGCATGTTTTTATTTTTCAAATTTTGTATTTATTTATTTTAAATAACTGGTCACTCAGGCTAAGTGGTTATCCGGTATTGTCAAGGCAAATGAGTTTCCACTTTCAATCTGTATGTATAAAATCCCACAACTATCCCACACGTGCAACAGAATGAGAAGGTCCAATGAAGGAGCTTTGTATAGAAGTAGGCTGGAGCTGCACATTAATAAAAATACATACAATTGTTTCCTAAAAGATTAAAAATATGAATTCAGCATTAAACTTAGTCTTCTTTAGCTTGCTAAATAGGTACTGAGAAAGTAGATTGGGCTACCACGTGGATTTCACCATAGTTCAGCAATTTTTGTGTTTTTAAATAGAACACAGCTCACAAATTAATAAGCAAATTCACTGTGGTGTTAGAAGGCCCAAAAACACTTGAGCTGGAAAAGGCACCACTTAAGCCACAGCCTAAAAGTGCTTCACAAACATAAGCGACACATTTGTGGTGGATTTAACCCAGAACTTTGCACTCTATTTCAGTTGAGAAATTTTTTGTTGTTGTTGAGAGAATCATAAAAGCAGCAGAAAAACTGCCATTCTTATGTACCATTTCAGCAGTGCTTGCCAGGAAGGGGGTGGCAGCAGGCTGACAATTTGCCTGCCACTGAGGCGGCTGAGGGGAAGTTTGTGGCCTGCAAGCAGCTCCCCTCACTGCAGCACCACCACAGGTAGTCCTCTTGAGACTTGACCAAGGTCAAGGACACCTTCCACTAGACCAGGTTGTTCAAAACCCCATCCCTTGTACACTTCCAGGGAGGGGGCATCTACACTATCTCTGGGCAACCCATTCCAATGTCTCACCACCCTCACAGTAACAATTTCTTCCTAATATCTAATTTAAATCTAACTTCTTTCAGCTTAAAACCATTACCCCTTTTCCTGTCACTTCATGCCCTTGTAAAAAGCCCCTCTCCAGCCTTCCTGTAGGCCTCTTCAGCTACCAAAACTCCTATAAGTTCTCCCTAGAGCCTTCTCTTCTCAAGTGAGAAGAACTCCAACTCTCCCAGCTGATCTTAGAGGGAGAGGTGCTCCAGCCCTCTGTTCACCTTCGTGGCCCTCCTCTGGACTCACTCCGGGAGCTCCATGTCCTTCCTGTGTTGGAGGATCAAGAAATAGACACAGTACTGCAGATGGGGTTCTCACAAGAGCAGAGTAGAGGGGAAGAATCACCTCCCTTGACCTGCTGGCCATACTTCTTTTGATGCAGCCTAGGACAAGGTTGGCTTTCTGAGCTGCAAGCACACAGTGCCAGCTCATGGTTTCTCATCAACCAACATACCCAAGTCCTTCTCCCCAGGGCTGTTCTCAATCCATTCTCTACCCAGCCTGCATGAGTTTTAAGGTGGAGGTGCAAAGACCTTTATTTGGCCTCTTACTCTTTAGGGGTAAACTCTTAGCCTGAATGTAGGACTTCAGTTAGTAAACAGGAATATACTAAACAGTATATGTGATGCAGAATCAGAGTAAATCTGTTTGCCTGCAAAATGCTTCATTGACAACAACAAATTACCTGCCTCCATAGCCATGATGGACAGGGAGAATCTCCTGGATCAAATGAAAGAAAAAACTAATCATAACTATGGCTAAGTGGAAGCTTTTTAAAATAAGTTTTGCAGTATTTTGCTAAGAACTACTGTTTGTACTGAACTTCAAATACCTGAATTTCATTGTTCTACAATAATCAAGACAATTTGCCTACAGAGCTGTGATATCCAAAATAAAAAAACAGGGTATTATTATCAGGATTATGTAATTTATTCTGAATTAGCGTTTTTGCACAGTTGGCAGAATCAGGTGCATTGAGCTGCAGGGACTTTTTTGCTGTATAGATAAGAAAACCAAACAAATCCTTTGGAAGTGCAGAAGTCAAGGTCCTCAGATCTTTTGTTGGTTCTGCCACTGATTTGTTACCTGCAGTTTCTCTGCCTCTGCTTCTCACCTATAAAATCTTTTATATCATAAAAGGTGTGTAAATCATTTAAGTAACTGGTACTCATAGAGTTAAGACTCACATATCAAAGGGAAACAGAACACCAAGCATTTCTCCTCAAGACTGAATTTTAAACCACATCAACTTATA